AATAGAAACGAAGTAACTCAGATATTCGGATTCATTAATGAATTTACGTTAATGATCGATAAATGGAAGAATCTCTCTTACTAAGATCTACCTTTCTCTTTTTATCTGTTTAGAAAATGGCGATTAATTAAAGGAAAATGCAAGCACAAGCATCGTAGAATATCCGGTTCGTTAATATTTCTCCGTTGATTTTCTAATTACTATTACGTTTTATAGTTGGGATTATATTTTTTACTTGTTGTTGCTTTTTTTTTTGTCTTTTTTATATTCTAATTAGAGACAAATATATAAATTTTGTTCGCTATAATATCGGTGGGAAATAATAATCGTATGTAAACAGAGGAAAATTAATACGTCGTAGGATTAATTTGATGAAAAAATAACAATTAATTTTAAATAATCAATTTGTTTGGAAAAAGTTTAACAATGTTGAACAATATATCTATATATATATACACATAACTTACCGATCAAATATAAATGATTAAGTTGTTCGAAAAGTTGATTAAGATTTTCAATAAACAATTGAATTATAAATCAAAATACGATATTAGCTTAAAAGTATATATATATATCTATATATGTGTGTGTGTTGAATGTATTTTACACGAGTTTACACTGATGCTCATCGATCCGATATGTACTCTTCAAATTTATTTGTAACTACCAACAAAATATCGGTTATTTGATCCGTTCGAAAGATAAAAGCGATTAACTCTACTTGTTGTTGTTGTTCTTGTTGTTGTTGTATGCAATTTTATAAAATCCAACAACTCAAATATTTTCATCGATTTTATAATCTTTTTACTTATTATCCAAATAAATTTGTCGAATAAAAATAAGAACTTACGCGCCGCTAAATAAAACCCACGCAAAAACGTTTGTAATATTCATTAATAATAAATAATACGACAGTATGATATACAACGAGATCATAAAAAAAAAAAAATAGTTGTTATCATTACTCGTTCGCGTTATAATAAATTTCAAATCATTTTATCTTTATTACATTTGTAATATGCAAAATCACGCTTTCACAATTATTCCTATGAACATAATAAACATATTTGAATATTATTTAAAATCATCGTACACGATATATTCGAAGATAAAAAAAAAAAAAAATAACCCACTTAACGAAAGACGAAAAAAAAAACGAAAGAAAGATAACAAAAAAGTATAATGAAATTTCATTGAAATTCAATTGACACTTGGTATTATTCAATTTAACTAACATTAAGTCTTGGACATATAATGGAATGAATGATCGATTTTATTCGTTCGACTTTTAATTTTCTTTTCTCGAGAAACGATTTCATATAAGAACGACCCAAATAACGAACTTGACTTCGACACGGCTAGGCGAGAAGAAGAAGAAGAAGAAAAAGAAGAAGAAGAAGAGGTTGGAATTGGGGTTTGGGGTAGGGTGGATGGAACGACCGACACGGTAGGGGGTTTTACCCTCCCCCCCCTTGATCTTCGGTGAAAGGTGCTTGCTTTTCGCGAATATTTCGAGGACGCTCGACCGTTTTATCACGAGTTCCCTTTCTATTGGATCATGCCGTCTCGTGTGGTAAGAGGAAAGCTCATTCAATCGATCCGTCTTGCGCGTTTTTACCACCATTCGACGGAAATTGGTACGACACGTAGATGAAGGATCACCCAGAGTAACTCTCTTTCTATCTAGATAGATAGATAGATAGATAGATAGATAGATAGATAGATATCTAGCTAGCTAGCTATGTATTCATCAATCTATCTTCCACGGTAACATCTCACTCGGAATTTAATTAAGTTCCGATTGATGTCACTTTATGAATACGACTTTTGAATTAGAATGGTATATATCTATATGTTAACTATCTTCCCCCTCTTCCTCCCGTTCCCCCATCGTGTGTTTGACTCGTCAATCCGAATAATTGATTTATTTCATTTATTTAACTATCCAACTGATTAATTTTAATATTTCAAATTATCCACACAAGCAGCAAAAGAATATCATTAGAAAAATAAACAATGTATTTTAAAAATGTGTTACAAATTTTCACACAATTCTATATATAACAATAAATTATTAATAAATTAATAATCTTATCTTTTTGCGTAATATTATTTCGAAGAAAATCACAATAATATAATAAAAACGAGTTAGCATATCGTAAAAAAAGATGATTACACTTCAAATGATCATTTACGTTGGAAAATAGGTAAGAAAAAGAAATATACATATATATATATATATATATATATATATATATATGCGTTTTGATCGGAAAAGGCAATAAACGCTGATATCGTACGTCCGCGAGTGGTACGAATGCGTGATTGTCCGTTGTTTACGAGTCACGAAAGAGAGAGAGAGAGAGAGAGAGAGAGAGAAAGACAGAGAGAGAGAGAGAGGGAAAAAGATTATACAAATAGAAATAGATATAGAACCTGGGTACACGTTGAGCGTGTTCAGCAGTGCAACCCGGCTGCTGTAGTATAGGTGCATTAATAATGTAGAAGTGCATATGGTGTGCAGTAAGCGCTTGGTGGCGCGCTGACTAGGATCAATGCTCCGGTTGCGATCTATACGGTAAAGTGCAATATAGGTAACGACAAACCAAACTGGCTATTTCTCTCTCTTTCTCTTTTACTCTCTCTCTCTCTCTCTCTCTCTCTCTTTTTTTCTTTCTGATGGTTCTGGTTCTGGTTCTGGTTCTAGCTCGAGCTTGTTCTTTTTATTTTTTTCTTTATTTCTTTCTTTCTCATGTCGATGGTGCACAGGAAACAACACCGTTACGCGGCACGCGGCTCGTTTCGATGGAAGTTATTAGAAAATATTCGGTCTAGGCGTGGCTCTGAACTCGCTCGTGAGAACAAGCACAAGGACGTTAAAAGCGTCGATTACGATTTCAACGTGGCTGCTATGTTTTTTTTCTCTCTTTTTTTTTTTCTTTCTTTCTTTCTTTCTTATCTTTCAACTTAGACTTAAGTGTGGTATTTTTGATATCATATATATAGAGAGAGAGAGAGAGAGGTATAGGATAATATTTTATTACTTTCTTTTCGTACAAAATAAATGAATAAAATTAGAGAGAGAGAGAGAGAGAGACAGAGAGAAGGGGAATACCATGTATTTTTTTTCTTCTCGTTAATAGATTAAATTCTTGGCCACAAGATTTTATAATAAATTATATATATATATGTATTTCTCGTAGTTAGACACGTTAAGATGATTTGTTTCGTTAGAGTATTCGTAATTATACAAAATATAATAATAGATACAATTATTAATTTGAAAGTATTATTGTATTTTAAATAAACGATTGAGCATACTCTCTTGTTAAAGATTCATTTAATCACACTTATGTTGAATTACTAAACTTCTCTTATAATAGAATATATATATATATATGTTGCGTTGCAATTAAAAATTAATTTTCTTTCAAATCGATAATAGGAGATTTACGAATATTCCGTTGTGCATGTATGTATTCATTTCCTAAAGTTATTTGTGTGTTTATGTGTGTGCTATAAATCGTTGAAGAAATATTTATAATATTATCTATGAATAAATAATAATAATAATAATAATAATAATAATGAATTAAATATTTTACTTACATTTAGTTTCCATATTGATAATTAATAATAATTATTAATTTCTTCCCATCTCTCTAAACGTTTCATTCGTCAATCCAGGTAAATTCGTAGCGATAAGTATCTTATTGTTAAAGTTAAATATATATATATATATATATATATATTTCATGGACATGGGGATATTGGTGAAAAGTGAAGAGAAATTAGGAAAGCACAATTTGGTATATGATTACGATATGATCCAGGTATAGATATACATACAAACAAATTAATTTTGTGATTCAGCGATAACGTACTTTATAAATTTATTCACAGGATTTAAATTAATGAAATATAGTATACAGTTAAGATTTTTGTTTTGTTGCTTCTTATTTTTTTTTCTTTATCTTTTTCATCAATCATCGATATTCTTTATATTGTTCTTCTTGTTGTCGCGATAATTGTTGTTGTTGCTGTTGTGTTCCTTGTTGTTCTTGTTGTTGTTCCAGTTAGAGTTGCTGTTGCGTTTTTTATTTTTTATGTATAATTCACGTTGCAAAACGCGAGACTCCTCGCTGTGTTTTTTTTTTGTTAATTATCATTTGTTTAATTCATATTTATTTTTGTCGAAACGATCGCAAGCGCACAATACATATAAATCTGATGAGTCTCAATTATTACGCGTTTTCGTAATATTTTTTCGTATCGCAGCAGCGAAAGGGTCTTTACAGCCATACACACCCCTCCTTACCCCTTTCCCTTCCCTCTAATTATTATTTCCTTTTCTTTCTTCTTTTTTTTTTTTTTTATTTTATTTTATTTATCATTGCACCTCTCCATCGTAATCCTTTTCACTTTTTTTTTTTTTATTTCTTTCTTCCTTTCGTTTATTTTTTTCTTTTTTGTTTATTTTTTTTTTTTTCCTTTTATGCGCGATGAATAATAATTAATAATTAATAATTAATAATAATTAATAATTAATAATAATAATAATAATTTATACACGAGGCAAATTTCCATATACATATTTACATATCGTACAAATTATTAGTCTTTCTTTCCCCTTTTTATTTTTCCATCGTGTGAATCTGACATATAAAATTACAAAAAATCCTCTATCTATTCGAGAATTGAAAAGTTTTTAAAAGCGAATAACTCCTATACGAGAAATTACGTATAGCAAATATATACGGATTGCCGCTGTGTGTCTGTGTGTTTTTTATCTTTTTTTTTTGTACGCGTGTATTCGATTTAACACACACGCGAATCAATATAAATATATATATATATNNNATATATATATATATATATATATATATATATATGTGTATACACAAAGTGGTTGAAAAATAATCTCCCACAGAGATCATTTTAAAATAAAATAATTCTTTTGATGTATTACACACACAAAATTCGCTTTTTATATTCTATATCGTAAACAACAAATATATCTTTTTTTAGAAAATGATTTTGAATTAATTTTCTATATTGTGTTTCATACAAATGGTCGCCATTTTGTTCTTGACAGGATGAACAAAATTAATGAGAGAAAAAAAAAAAGATGATTATATTTAAAAAAAAAAAATCAAATATGTCTCGTAGTGACTATTGAACTACTCTGTGCATACATATATATATATATATATATATATACAGATACATATATATAATAAAATGTATATTTAAATATACACATTTATATATTTTGCACGTATGCATGTATATACATAAACGTACACGCGTACGTGCGAGGTCATCCATATACACGTACATATATACAAGGATACAACCACCCGCCGATACGCAACAGCGCAAAGCTATTTACACGTCATACTCGTAAAGTAAATATTTACACGTACGCGGGGCTAGAAATCCAAAAAAAAAAAGAACAAAATAAAATAAAATAAAAAAAAGGGAATGAGGGGGGAAAAAAAAAAAGAAAAAAAATACTCGCCAGCGAGAGAGAGAGACGATTTTTAAGATGAGGATTTATGCGATCCGACGACGAGAAACGTACTGATGCCCAACTAAACGCCTTTTATTGCCCTTTTCTGATCGAGAAAAAGAGAGAAAGGGAGAGAGTGAGAGAGAGAGAGAGAGAGAGAGAGGGGGGGAGGAGAGAGAAGGAGGAGGAAAGACCGATAAACCAACGGCTTTCAGAATGATGGAGGATACAAAATAAAAAATCAAATGTGTGTATGTGTGTGTGTACCACGTTTGAAATAAAGTAAGTAACAAACAAACAAAAATAAAAAGGAACAGGTGGAGTACTACTGGAAAAACCCCATATTTTGTGAATCAAATTTTTCTAACGTAAGAAAATTAATCTATTACTTTATCCGAAACATTAATTATATATATATATATCTCTAACGTTTAAAAAAATAGTTTGAAACTTTGATAGGATTATTTTTTGGGGGGTGGAATATTTAGTTCGGAAAACAAGGGTTAACGAGAAACATTGGCAGTGGCGGTGTGTGTTGGAGACGTGATTTATCACGAAATTGTATTAGGAATGTGTATGTGTCTGTGTATGTGGGGGGCCCCGACGAGAGGTGGTATTTGTATTTCTCTCCCCTTTTTATCTCTCTTTTTTTCTTCTTCTCTATACCTTTCCCTTCTATCCATTTTCTCGATTGTCCGGTACTTTAGATATCGACGATCAAACGGACGCGTACGTTAACAATCCCTCCTCTTTCCTGAATGTAGAGTAGGTGTAGTTGATAAAAGGTAGGCGTAGTTCGTCGTTTCTCGCTTTGTATCTGTCGAATAGAAAGGAGAAGGGGGGTTGGGTGAGTAGAGTAGAGTAGAGTAGGGGATGAATAAGTGAAAGACAGAGAAAGGATAAATAATAGTGTATAGCCTTTAGAAGGAGGAGGAGGGAGGAGGAGGGAGGGTCGAGGTAATCACGAGGTAAAACTAGCGAGAGAAGACTAAACGAGGTATGCTTGACCGGAGGAGGGTGGCGGGGGTGGGGAAGAGGGTGGTTGGTGTTGCCTCCAAGTGGATCTCTCGAGCGTCGAATAATCGGAATCAATGGACGAATATATATGCTCGGACAAGGGTCTCGTGTGATCCTCGGTAGCGAGGATAGAATTGGTAGGAGGAACGAGACTGCCAGCTGGCACGGTGACCGCATCACGATAAACGTGATTGACGGTCAGCCGAGGTTGCGGCGAGGATGGTGGAGGAGGTTGTTGATGGTGAGAGGAAACGGTACCGCAGGAATAAGCAGGCGGAGCGTGTTGCAACATCAACGCGGAGGAACCACCGGTGTTAGTAGTGTCCTTAAAAAATGTACGCTGTGATCTAAACGTCGTCGTCGTCGTCGTCGTCGTCGAAAGAGGAGGAGGAGGAGGATGAGGAGGGTTGTTTGATTTCCTACTACCAATGCTGTCCCTGTCCATCGCGTAGCTATTGATATTACGTTTAAATACCAGTGGCAAGGATTTGTTTTCGATGGCAACATCACCGCCACCACCACAGCCGGGTGTCGCGGTACTCGCGGTATTACGCGTACCGGTAGGAGGTGGTGGTGCCGTTGATGGTGGTGCCGGTGGTATCGCGTATTTCAGACGTTCCCAAAACCTTTTTTCACCCCACGTTAATATCAGGGCAGCGTTACGCAGATACGGTCGCAATTCTGGATCCCTGTCGAGTTCGAAATTTAAATTGGCAGCTTGAACAACGATCAGCTGATTCGCTCTCCCACGCAATGCCTCGTGAAAGGCCGCTCTTAATTCGAAACGCGACCACTCAGTTTGAAGAAAGTTCCGCGTAAGGACGATCAATGTACGACGGGATGCATCAACTGCATCGAGGATGGTCGGGCCCGGTGTCGAGGTACGCAACATGCACGGCAAATCACGATGATGAAGGCATAATCTTAATGACGAGGGTCCGTGCTCGAGTTCGGCTGCCAACGAATGAAGTATAAAGTCCTCGTCATTGGGGCTGTATGAAACGTAACAATCGTACAAACGTTCGCGATTAATGTCGTAACAGGACGTTATGCCAGCGGTCGAGACCATTGTCGCACTACCGGCCGCACCAGTTTTGGCAGGTTTCGTACGTTGAAAACGTAATCCGTATTTGGAGTAAGCCCATGCACAAACGGGCCCACGAAATACGAAAGCTAACACAACGACTATGAGAAGCACCAGCAAGGCCGACAACGTTGCGGCTACAAGAGTTAAATAATCCTGCGCAAAGTCCACCATTCCGCCGCCCTGTGCATAATAATCCGAACATGCGGTCTCGTTGACATTTAACCGACGTCGATAAGACGGTTTGTTATCACCACCACTGTAATAGCACCAGACGTCGTTCGTGTCGACGACTTTGTGCGCGTTATCGGATACCCAGGAGGACAGTTCTTGGAGAAACTTGCAACGACATGACCAAGGATTATTACCCAATGATAATTCGACTAGACGTGCGTTAAGGGTGACTTGCCAAACCGGAAATGTAACGAGTCGATTTCCGCTAAGACGTAATATCTCGAGCGAACGCAACGGCAGGAACGTCAGATTACCAATAAAACCGATTTGATTGTTTTGCAAGTAAAGTTCGCGCAAATGGGACAAACGTTCGAATTCGAAGCCTTTAAGTTCGCGTATACGATTGTCCTCGAGATGAAGTATCTGCAGATTGTTCAAACCGTTGAACGTACGGTTTTGAATCGATTCGATACCGCTACCGTTCACGTAAAGAACGCGCATATTTTTACGCCCGATGAAAACGTGATTCAGTAATTCACGGAGCACGTTACCATCGAGGTAGACTTCTGTCGCGTCCATCGGTATACGTCGTGGTATCTCTTCGACCCCGAGACCAGAACAATCGACGGCATTTGTACTCCATGTACGATCGTTGTAACACTTGCAACCGTTCGGACAGGTCATTTCGCAGTCGCAGGCATCGTAATCGCAACAGTGACAAAGAGCAAAACAGTGTGCCTCGTAACGGCAAAGGAATTCGTTGGAACGTGCCGTTGAAGCTGGTATCATGGCAATACCACGTGGCCCGGAAGTTCGACATCTTACGTTATCCAAATCCATTACGCGCGGATACTCCCTCGAAGAGGTTTGATTGTTGATCGCAGGTAACCAATCCATCGAGCAATTACAATAAAATGGATTATCCCCGATATAGAATTCCGGCAATGCTTTGGTTTCTGGTACTCTTGTTAATAACAGTGCGGTCAGTTCCATAGTTTCTATCATGTTGGCGTACATATCGACGCGAGTTAAATTAACTTTTTCCGTAAACGTGTTAGGATGGACGATGCTTATATAATTGTTGTTTATAAAGAGCAACTCAACGCTGTCGGGCACGGACAGGGACGTTAGCTCGGTTATGCGGTTATGACTGGCATCGAGGGTCTTCACCTTAGAGTTTCGAAGTTTGTAATAGTTGTCAAGTTTCTCGATAAAGTTACCATGTATATCGAGCCACTTTAGGTTACCCGGTATGAACGCGTAATCAAACCACTCGATGTGGTTTTCCGATAAGTTTAAAAGTAGCAGACTCGTAATACTTGTGAATATGCCGTTTATGTCCGATAAAAAGTTGCCGTCTAGTCGAATGGCTTCCAGTTTAATATTACGCTCGAATGCATGCATGTCGATGTGTTGCACTTTGTTTCTGGCCAGATTGAGAATTTGTAAATTCGGTAGATCCCAAAGCATCCCGCGAGACAAATTGCCGATGTCGTTGCCGATCAAACGTAATCCTGTAAGCTGATGGAGATTACGAAATGACCCATTGTGAAAACTTGCGATACGATTTTCCCCAAGATCGAGAGTCTTTAAATAAGCGAGGTCTCGTATCGCTTCCGGGACGGAGGTAAGCCCGTTACCGCTCAAATCCAATTCCTTTAAATCCGAACAATTGCGAAATGCCACTGGATCAACGCTGGCGATCGAATTTCCTGATAACGTAAGACGATTTAGGACGAACAATCCATTGAGTAGTTGTGCTCCAACGGTACGAAGCTTATTGTCCGATAATTCGAGGGTATGTAAATTGTAGAGCGGTAAAAAGGCGTTTCTCTCGATGTAATCGATCGAATTGTTACGTAAATCGAGTATGTGAAGAAACAAAAGGTCCTTGAACATGCGAGCGTCGATGCGGGTTAACAGATTGTAAGAAAGATCGAGAACGATCAATCGTATAAGGCCAAGAAATGACGTTTCATCGATTTGATTGCTGTCGAGCCGATTGCCAGCGAGATTTAAAACCAACAGCCATTCCAACCGAGTGAATATACCCTTGGGTAAGTCGCCTAGTCCATTATGCGCCAGGTGTATCTCTCGTAGTTCCCTTGTGCTTCCGAATAGACCCTCCGGAAGGGAACCAAGGGAATTGTAACTGGCATTAAAGATACGCAGAACGGTAAGGCCGATCAACGCACGATTGTCGATTTCGGCGATCGAGTTACGTTGCAGGTGTAACTCTTGTAATTGTCGCAGTCCGACCAACGGGCCATTGTTCGGTAATCTGGTAAGCTCGTTACGCGACAAATCCAAAATTCGTACGTCCGCTCGACAAGATTCGTCGTTGATATTGTTGTTGCTGTTACTACTGATGCTGCTGCTAATGCTGCTGCTGCTGCTGCTACTATTATTGTTGCCATCTTCGGAATCCTCTTGACGACGCGTCAAACCGATATCGAGTATATCGCGAATACGATTTCCCGTAAGATTTAAACTCTGCAAATTGTCCAAATCGCAGAGTAAATATGCCGGTAACGATAACACATTGCTCTCGACTATTTCAAGAGTATGTAATTCTCTTAAACCCGACAAAGAACCGGGTGCGAGTTCCAAGACGCGTTGAGCACCCCACTCGGCATTGAACGTTTGTAAAGTCAACTTCTTCAGCTCGATGAGAGATTGAAAAGTACCACCTGATATCCTTAATACTTTGCATGCATGAATATGGAGCTCGTGAAGAGAAGGCAATCTTTGCCAGCTATGAGCGTTCAATGTGCTCTCGAAATGATGAACCTCGCTGCATCGTATTCTCAATTTGTTAGCACCGTCTAGGGACGAAGCGAGGCTGGTCAAAGCATTTGGGTCGAGAACGCGCAGAGTGCAATCTGCAGTGGTGCGTGTGTCGTTCCCACTATCGGAGGACCATCTGCACGAGGCACCACCGGTCAATGTTGCTGTTGTAGTAGCGAGGCACAAAAAGAGCAGCACTTTAATAGCGTAACGCTTGAACGCGTTCGCAACGTCTACGACAACGTTCTTCGTCACCGTCATCTCGCGACGACGATCCAACGCGCGACAAAGATTTCTTGCGCGATCGGAGGATGGTAGATTATTAAACAAACAACGACGACGACGACGACGACGACGACGACGACGACGGGGATGACGATGACGACGGTGACTAAAAGGAGAGATATTTTTAGCAAATTTACCGAGAGAATGTCCTTGCTGTCGTCTCTCCCTTTCCAGCCTCCCCTGTCGCGCACCGCGACAACCACCGTCGGTAATACACGTTCGCGCAAGGGGTTGACACGCGCGCACGCACATATACACACACACTTACCGTGGAAAAGCACACATAGATGACAACGAGGCGGGGAGGGTGGTTCTGGTCGAGGAAGGGAGGACGACGAGGCAGTGGCAGAGGCAAAGGGAAAGGGAAAGGGAAAGGGAAAAGGAAAGGGAGAGGGAGACCGAGAAAGGACACTCACACGGAAGGGCGCGCGCGCGCGCGCGCGCAAACGGACAGGCGGGTAGGTAGGCGCGAGGGAGCGCGCGCGCGCTCGCACACCTCCTATCACGTAAGTACAACGGACCGGCCCATTTCTTCCTTTGTTTTTTTTCCTTTTTCTCTTTCCCGGTGGGCCGCCGATCCTGCGCCCTCGGCACCACCTTGCCAACCCTCAACCTTTATATCGATGCTTCTTTATACACTATCTATCCCTTATTTATTTCTCCTTCCTTCCTTCCTTCCTTCCCTTCTTTTCTTTCTTCCTTCCTTCCTTCTTTCTTCCCTTCTCTTCTCTTTTCTTTTTACCCTCTTATCTTCTCTTTCGTTTATCTATTACTTTCTATCATTTTCCATATCCTTTTATTTTCTTACGTTACCCCCTGGAGAAATATAAGTCAAACCCGAAGGTAAAAACACTACCACCTCTAATTTCGTTTCACCCAACAACACTACTACCCCTTTTCGTTCTCGACTCGTCTCACCCGACCAATGCCAATATAAGAAGACATGCGAGAGATAATTGTTATTCGGGTTTTTTTTATTGACTCGTATATAAATGATATATATATATATATATTTATTTTCGTTGATTTTTGTCAGGAATTGTCCTCTATCTTTCCTGTTACGAGTTAGTCCCGAGCGAGTTTCGCGTATATCAAAGGGAACGAGTGCACACGTCCGAATGTGTACGCTCGACTCGCACCAACCACTGTCACTGAATCCTCACCAACTTTCACCACCGATATCATAGTCGCCACCGGTGTGGTTGCTTCAGCAAGTTACCACCACCGATCACGTTGGATTCTGGTGTTCTTCTTCTTCTTCAATCGTTCCTATCTTTTACAACGCTACCTTTACTTTACTTTACAAACTTCATTGCGTTCACCTTTCCTCTCTCTAGAGGTCGTTACTTTATTGCAATCCCATGAAAAGTTACCTTAACGAGACACACCATTCAAAAGATACTCCTCTAACATTTTGTTTTAGTTTTCTGTTCAATCGATGTATATATATATATTCTTTTTTTTTTTTCATTATTTTTTGATATAATAAGGCATCATAGAATGTTAACTGTTTTCAGATTGAACTTAACTATACCAAATAATGGTATAGGTATGAAGATTGGTAATATTAAAACTTATCAATAATTGAACTTTTCCTATCAAACAAGAATATAAGATATTTTATTAAATTCATATATATATATATATGTGTATCATTGTTTTATGATAAATAATATTTGATTGATTTATGTGATATTATGTAATTATATTTGATATTTGTATTTTTATAGTATAGTTTAGTTTGATTTTTAAGATGGGGGAGCTACAATCCTTGTCGCCACCATCGAATATGTTCCGAACGATACCAGAAGTTTCATACTATACTACTAGATAGTTAAAGACAAGCGTCCTCTTGTGCCTTTGAATTTCGATTATTGACACGTGTACGTTTAGCCTTCTTTTTCTCTAACTTTATATACATTTTTAAAAGATTAATCAAATAAATACGAAAATGAGGATACTTTGCGTACTGTTCACTTTGCTAGTGATCACTGTCACTTCGTTAGCTCGTCCTCAGGGTGAGTATAGTTTCATCTATGCACACATATAAATATATACATCAATTTCTATGTAATACGTATATGTATATATACATACATACACACGTCGTTTGCTATCGTTTGTTTTCTTTTTCGTTGCGTCGGGTAACGCAATACGCCAAATGATATTCGTTAGATTTTAATGCGCATTTAATATGACAGAAGCAGATTTAAATTTAGATTTATTGATCTATATTGTCGTTTGAGACCATATTCACTTTTTTATTTCCCCTTTTTTCTCTTTTTTTTGGATAAAATAGAATAAAATGAAATGTATATTTTTACATTACAGAGCCAAAAAATTCGAACGAGACTACAACTGCTATACCTTTGACGCCTGCAATTAAAAATAATGATACTCCAAGCGGTACACCAGCGTCAATGGGAAAATCTAATGAGAAACCTAACAATGTTATTGCTCATACTACTCCAAGCGTTACTATTGCTGGAAAATTAAAAGAGGATGTTGTAAATATTGCTACTGCATTAACGAAAACTGCAGTAACACCTGTAACAATAGATTCTAAGACCGATTTGTCTTCTTCTGCAATTACATCGAGCGATAAAATTACTTCTACCACTACTACTATTGCTACTACTGTTACTACTACTGCTGCACCACCTACAAAATCGACTTCTACTACTACTACTACTACTCCTGCTGCTGCTTCTTCTCCTATTACTGAAATTGTTGATACCAAGAATAGCAATATAATTCCAACTTTAGCAGATATAACTACAGCAGTACCAGTTACAACAACATGTCCACCATCGGATCGTCATTTTGATGGTCTTAGCTTTCTAGGTATATTTTTTAATGTTTAATATGCTTCAATGGAATTAATCTTATCGATTGTTTATAATCTTAATAATTAACTTTCGAATTATATTTCAGGTGGTATTATTTTAACTCTCTGCTTGATCGGAATTGGAATCTTTTTATGCAAATATTGTCAACACGTTTGCGAAGATAAATATCGTACACTATGACTAATTACGTAAATTTTAGTGTAATATATTTCATTTGTTGCAGTACCACCGATACCATAGATCTCAAAATTTTAGATCATATTTTTATTTTAGTTATTACTTTGCTTAGACAAAATTTTATATTATTTTATTTTTATTTGTAGAGTTTTATTTTTTTCCAACAAAGCGTGAAACGCAACACGTTTTATGCACTAATTTATTTGTTTATTATATCGTGCTTATTTCTTTTTTCGCAATAAGAAAAACGCGCGAATCGATCGAAAAATTAATTAATCGATCAATTTATCTTTCTAACGATTCGAATGAGAAAAAAAAAATACGAATCTCAACGAGAGAGGATAAACTCTCAGCTGTTAACTCGTAAAAGAGTAGTCCTTGCACAAACGAGTACAATTAGTTGAAGTAGTTATATTTTACTTTTGTATTGTATCAAAGAAAAGTTATAGAATCTCGGCCGAGCAACGAGGCTCTTCTTATTTGTATAATATACATATATGTATATATACATAATATATATATATACTTCTTTTATGTATGTATCTTTATTAAAAGAAACAAATGTATATAATAAATAAATTCTCAAAGTTGTTCCATTAGGAACAATTCACTCACGTAATAATCGCATATATCCAAATACTTAATTCCACCCCTATTTAAATAAAATTATATATATTAATGTCATTATTTATTAACTAAAAGTTGAAATTAAATTAATGGGCCGAAATAAAAGAAAAGAAAAGGTAAAAAAGTATCATTAATATCATCCTTATAATGAACAATAAAAAGGTTGGCATAGAACCACAAAATCAGATAAAATGAATCAGTGCTCTTAATTGCTTATTAATTAATCAAACAAAATATATATCCATAAATATAAATGCTTACTTTATTATTTAATTATTTAATTAGTTATTAATAATTGAAAAATCAAAATAAAAGATTTACTTCAATCTTGAAACAAATTTTTAATTGAAGAAAATTTATTGAGAGACAGGTTTTTCTAGCTCCAATATGATATCGGTCTTTTTTTTATCTAGTAAGTCTTTTTTTGTACTTGTTCATTTTACCGGCCGAAATTTGATGGTAACTTAATACAGAATTACGACAGCATAGAAAACCTACGGCAGTGAGAAACAAATATGTACAACTTATGGCTCACTAATATCTCATTGTTAATCCATAATTGTTTGCCTTAATTATTAATTATTAAATTAGCACATTTTTAATTTTCAATAACTCGTGAAATAATTAATAATTAAGGCAAACAATTATGGATTAACAATGAGATATTAGTGAGCCATAAGTTGTACATATTTGTTTCTCACTGCCGTAGGTTTCCTATGCTGTCATAATTCTGTAGTAAATTACCATCAGATCTCGATCGGTAAGTTACCATCAGATCTCGGTCGGTAAGATACAATCAAATCTCGTCGGTAAAATAAAAGTAGAGCACTACTATTACCGATATCGGCTTAACCATGTTACTAGAATTTCAATATATTTTAAACTTTCTTATTTCCTAGTAACTTTTAATAACTAGTATTGTACACAAAGTGAATGTGTAATTAAATTTTATATACATTTAAAAACAAACAACAATTAGAAATCTAATATATATATATATTTTGTTTAAATTATTAATTAAAGAGAAGTTTACTCGTTAATGACGATTGTCTTTGAACAAGTACAAAACAAGATTACTAGATTAAAATATGATATCATATTGGTGCTAGAAAAACCTGTCTCTCAATAAATTTTCTTCAATTAAAAATTTGTTTCGAGATTGAAGTAAATCTTTTATTTTGATTTTTCAATTATATCAATAACTATTTAAATAATAAAGTAAGCATTTATATTTATGGATATTTTGTTTGATTAATTAATAAACAATTAAGAATACTTATTCATATTTTTCCGATGTTGCATTTCTATGCCAACTTGTTTGTACTTTACGATGTGATCCGATTAAAGAATTAAACTAGATCTCTTACATTATTTGAAAACGATTTTATAGTTTTAATATATTATATGTATATTTTGCGCAGACGTGGTCCAGATTTTTCTGTCTCATGGGTGGAGTCAAGTTGTATCTGAAGTAGACGGAAGAGAGCATGCTCAGTTTTATCCCCCTATTTTGCTTTCCTCCGCAGCATCCCCTTTACCTCTGAGAAGTTGGAGTCTCGTCCACACGACGACCAATACAATCAAACTATTACTTCGTATACACGTTTGCACAAATATATACATATACTTACACACATACACAAATATATACGCGGGAGTATATGCTACCCCCTTACCACCCCTATTTTCTCTTCGTCATGTATGTGTCGTGTATGTGTCTCCAAAGCATAAAGCTTTTTTGGAAGCTTTCATACATGCACACATATACTATTAACATACCACCATACAATCTAACAATCTACTAATACATCGACTGAAATCTATATACATATATAAATGGCGACGCGTTTACGCAAAAGTCTGGATCGAATGCAGCGCGGCAAGACGCGTTGCAGCGCAGAGGCGGCAAAGGCGAGGCATCAGTCGGGCTCAAACGTGCGCTCGTTGCGGGTTCACAATCCCTTACGAACGTTTCTTATTCTCTTCATACCCCTTCTATTATCATCGATCAACAATATTTGTAAAAATTTATCTCTAGATTACACGTAATCCGGTCCACGAGTCTCATTTTAACGCGTCCACGTATACGCTCGCGCGCGCGCGCACAAAAGCACGGATGCTGTGTGATTTTTACATCAAAAAATATTCAATACAAATTAACGAACTTAATAATAATAATAATAATAATATATTTGTGTATAATTAATTAATTAATATGTGCGATAATCGCGTTGTTTTATATTTTTTGTTGCTTCTTCTCGATTCGACAATACCACCGGTCTCGTAATTCTCATCGACAAATTTTCTTACCTACGAACTTTTTCCCAACGTTTGTTATGATCCTTTGAAATAATTACTTTTATCCGTGTCAAAAAAGAAAAAAAAACCAAGAAAAAAGGAAAGAAATGAAAAAATAAGAAATAAAAAAGTGTACATTCTTTTAACCGAAAAAAAAACGGGGATCACGAGGAACAAATTTTCTGTTTCGAAAGAGAGAGAGAGAGAGAAACAAAAAGAAGGTACGAAATGATAATATCGCAAGAAGATCTGTTGATTTGTTATTTCGTCGTCGCCATTAAATTCTGACAGGGGGTTGGGGTTGGGGGTGTACTATTTTTTGTTTTCCTTTATTTTTATCAATCATCGAGCGTTTCGTAAAGAAACGCGATTGGATATTAAAATATTTGACATATTAAAATCTACGATAGTATTTCATTAAATATCGTTAAAGTATACATCGAAAACTAGTATAAAAAAAATACTACGTTTTGATATAAGAAAATATGGCGGTGGACGCAGGGTGTTTATTGATCGGGATGAAAATTTCATGGTGAAATAACTATTATAGCCGGGGGATCGTCGTCCCGGGGTGGGTAACATTCGAACTTGAGATTGGATCAGTAAGCATCGAAGGGGGAGGAAATCCTTTTTCCTCCTTTTCTTTTTTTTTCTTTTCTTTTCTTTTCTTTTCATTACCCGTCACCTCTCGTTTGACCTTTCTGCAAGAAATATCGAGTAGAAAATCTCGAAGTAGCCTAAACTCTTTAATCATACTTAACTCATCATTCGATAAATCCTTTTTTTATTCAATCAAATTTCACCCCATCTTCTCATCCCCACTCTCTTCTTTCCTACAATATTTTTATTATTTATTATTTGACAAGAAACAATTTCGCGTGTCAAATCAATCGATCGTTTCTTTTTCCCCCTCTGATTCGATCTAAATTCTTTTCTATTTTTTTGTTCTGCGGGTGGTGGTGGTGGTGGGGTGGTGTTTTTCATTTAAAAATATTCGAAAATAAATAACGTTGATTTGTAATTTGAATTTTCCTTTTTATATAAGTTTCTTTTTTTCTTTTAATCGTAGGAATCATCCAACATTTGGAGAGAATATTACGAAATATTAAAATAATAATAATAATAATAATATAAAGTAACGTCAATCACGGATGACAATCAAGGAGAGGGGGAGGGCAGGAGGAGGAGGAGGAGGGGGTCCCTTTAAAAGTGATGAAACACCGGTCACGGTTGACCACTGTAACAGTCAATAAGGGATGAGATAGCTGACAAGAGAGACCGGATGTGCTTAGGTGTCGTGATTCATTCTCGTGTTAGCTGATTCCTCTGTCATCATTACGTTTGACTATATTATTCCAAAAACACCATTGTATTGGATCAAGTATCATCGTGTTAAATTATTACACCGTTTACGTTTAATCGAAATTTATATTACGAACGTCTGTTTGTCTGTCTGTTCGTCTGTCTGTGATTGATGAACAAAATAACACGAGATGAATTATCATTCTGACAAAGGTAAGTTGAAAATTATATCTTATTTAATAGAAATTTATTTCCCCCGTTCGAAATTCGTACAATCTCCAATTAATTATCCTGTTTTTTTTTTTCTGATGGTTAAAAAAGTTAATTGACAAAAAATGAAGAAATAGGAAAATAATGAAAATGAATAATAACGTTGCTAATGTGAACGTTGGCTGTCGTTTAACCTTTGAACCGAGAGTTGATTCGCGAACGAGCCAAACGATCGATGAAAATGGACCGAAAATATTCCCTCCTACCACAATAACAATTCTCTTCTCTGTGTGTGTGTGTGAAATAATGTCACCGTTTAGCAGCGATCGAATTAATTTTTTTTTCTTAAACCGTGATCGATAATTTTATTATCGATTATTATGATCAACGTTATCATTATTATCCCATCATGATTGTCATTAGATGATTTAACGAAGATTTTTCAGTATATTATAACCCAAGTTGATAAATTATCATCATTTGAAATGTTTGAAGTTAATGGTGCGATACTTTGGTGATGGTGCCGGAGATGAATCCGTGATTGGCGGAAATGGCATAACTGATTGGCCGATATTTCATAATTTCCGGTACGGCAATCGGTGTGGGTGGTATCCTCTCTATTACCGAGAACAGACACCACCATCAGTAGTAGTAAGATCATTCCGGATGCATCTACTTAAATCTAGAGAAAAATATCAAACGCGTTTAAACGTATCGTGAATTTTACGAATTAAGCAAATGTTCCTTACCTCCACGTTGTTTTTATTCGAAATCAATTTTATATGAGAAAGATAAATATATATACGAGAGAAGAGATTTATCGATTTGGAAATGAAACCATAGAAAAAGAAAAAAAAAACATATCCTACAAAATTATCCTTTTTAATTTTGCAATTGAATATTATTTTTGATGAAATTTTAGGCAAACGTAAAACTTATAGAAATTTAATAAGATTAAACGAAGGTAATAGAAATCAAAGTATTACGCGTGATGCGTCAAAATATTGAACAATTCCGAATGACTGTGACACGTACGAATAATAATAATAATAATAATAATAATAATAAAAGGTTGTTGAAAGTATTAAGGGAATATCGTCGTCGTGTCATCTTCAAAGAAAGATTAAAGTGTCGTTTGTGGCATCATGGCCACGTGCGTTTCGATAAAATTTTGACGAGACACCGTGTAATCCTCGAAGGTAAAAAAACAGATTGTTATATTATATTATACATCTTATTATATTTAAAAAAAGAAAATATATATATGATTATTGATGATAAATATGTATATTGTTATATTATATTATACATCTTATTATATATATAAAATCTTATTATA